ACTTGATAATTTTCTTAGCCTAAAAAGTGGACAGCTGTTTTATTCACAGACAGTAGTTGTTCCAGTCATGATAAGATAGAGGGCCTGGGATGTCCTGACTCCATTGAAGACGACCTCTATCCTCCTTGTTGATGAAGCTCTTCCCTAGTCTTACCTCCTGGGAGCCTGGCCGCAGTCTCCAGGGCACTCTCTTTGAGTACAGTGCCAGAATAAATGCTAAAAGCTATGTAGAATCTCAGTTTTGAGCTAGCCAACTTCAGAGTATATGTGGACACTGGCAAGTTGGGAGAACACTGTGCTGCTGGAGTGAGGATGTAACATTGAAAATGTTCAGTTTCCTGCCTTTTTTGTTTTTTTATTTGAGAATAATGGCCATTCACATGAGAAGTGGGAGTAAAATGCACGTTTCAGGAGAGGCGTTTAGAATCATCACTCTCTATTTCTTGCACTCCCCAGTTTTAAAAAAGTCATTTCTGGAGTGGCCTCTTTTAAACCTTGCAAGAATTTTGGCTAATAGGCAAATTTTGGTCAGTGTAGACTCAGATGCTTTGATTTTGTGTAGCTTCCTGCTCCTGACCCTCATCCGTCTTTTTCAGTTCACCTCAGCAGTACTTTTCTGGAACAGATCTCTCTTAAGCCATGATGCTTTCTAGCCAGTATGCTTCTTGTTTTTATAATCTGCCTCTAATTTTAAAAAGGAAATAAAACCTTGGTTTCCTACAGGCCAGGTAGCTAGAAGTTATTGGCTTCCAGCCCATGTCAAATATATTGAGTGGGTGTTGTTTTTAAGTAGGAGCTTCTTAATTCAAGGTTTTATGTGTTTAATTATGTATGTGTAAAGTGCCAGTCTGTGTGCCTCTTGGGTTTGATTGTTTGGAAGTATTAAATACAAGAGTATATAGAAAGTACCATGGGTTAAGATTTAACTCTTAGATGTGAATACTTTATCCCAAGCTTCTCTTGGGGGAATGACATCCCAGTGGGCGTAACAAGGGAATCATCTTGTTAACTGAGGAAACCTCTCGATTAGGAAGAAATGAACTTGAAGACCCTGAACCAGTCAGAAAGGGATCATTACAGGCAATATGTTGTAACAAAAGGCATTCTGGGCTATGCCAGGGTAAAGTTTCTAAATGTGATTTTTATTACTGTACTTCCCAGACTCAAGATATTTCTCAAATTACAGTGCTATATTTGAGTAATTTCAGTAAAATACTGAAATGACATAGTATTTAACTTTAATGCAACTGTAATAAAGATACAGTTCCTTGCTTGTGAGGGGGCTGAAAGTTTTGACAAGTTGGGGGCCAGTTGACCAAAGGGAGGGGTTCCTTTTAAGATTTCATTTGTGTTGAGAATGAGGTCACTTGGGTGAGATTTCCCTGGAGATACTGTGGAGTTCCCCAGGAAGTACTTCAAAGGTGGGGGGGATTTTTCTTTTAATCAGAACAATCCCCACTTTGAGCTTTACTGTATTATACTTTGAGGTTCTGCCCTAAAATTTTGTTTGGAATGAGGAAATTCTGTGGCTTTCAAAAGATTTGACAGTTACTAGTAGTTGCTGCATAAAAGGAGTCTTTCACATCACCAGATTCATCATTCTGTAGTACATCCAACTCTCTCCTCTAAATATGTAGAGTTTTCTCTTTGTGTGTAATATCACATGTAGTTATAGTCAAGAGAGTAAGAACATCACTCTCACTTTTGGGGAACTGTCAGACAGGTCAAATAGGTAACAAGAATCCCACTTGGAAATGATGTCAGGGGCTTCCAGATAGCAGACCACTATGAAGTGCCTACTGCTTTTGGAGAACTGCAAAGTTTTTTAGCAAGATGGAGTTTTGATGCCAAGGAGATGCACTGGAATGTGAAAGGGAGTTTTGAAAGCAGGTGAGGATCTAGCCTTCTATATCCCACAGAGTCTCTTCTTCGGGCTCTGAATTTGGATGAATGCTGTGACCCACATGATTGTTCTTAGAATTTTGGTCTAGGTTTTAGAATACCTATTAGTTAGTGTGGGAGTGGAAAGCCGGCTTTTTTTTTTATAGAGTAAGGTGGATTATTTTGCCTTCAATTCTCATTTATGGTCTGCTCTGTCTGTTAAAGTGTCATGTTGAAAGACCTATGTAAAGCAATGGGATATAGAAAATTTAATTTTTAACGCCTACATTAACTCACCTCCTGCTGTCTGGTCCAAGGTTTTCCTGATTGATGTCAGCTTCCTAACTGAATCACATGTGTATATGCAATCTAGTGAAATAGATCATAGTCAGTTTTTATTATATTCTCAGTTTTTAGTCACTTGGAACCGTTAAGGAAGATTATCAGGCATTCAGAAAAGTTTATCCCTTAATAAAAACTTTCCAGGTTTGGTCTCTAAGAGAAGGCTGTAGATCATTTAAGACCGAATTTATTTCAGGTGTAAAAACCCATTGGTAGATGATCATCATGCATGCATAACAACACCAAAATGTATATAATAAAAATAAAAAGGAATTACAGAATTTGCAGGGATGTAAGTAACATTTAGTATTTTCCCTTTCTTTTTTATGCAGCACCAGGGAGAGCACCTACAGAGAGCATATGAATTCCTGAGGGTTTATGTCACTTAGGCACTTGGTATGTGTCAGTGGATACTTGTCATACAGGCCACCTTCTGCATTGAGATCCTTATAGCTGTATTACAGAAGCTGCTTAAAATATCAAGTTTCTTTCTGTTTTTAAGAGGCTAATTAAAAATGCAACCCACCCCCCCAGTCTTTCTCTTCCTGAGTCTTCTTGCCTAGGTTTTCCCAGTTGGAATTCCTTTCTGACAAACTGTTCTCTCAGATACCAGATTAAGAACAAGATTGAAGTCTATCTCTGTCCTACAAGTTTCCTACTGTGTATTTCCTTATCTATAAAAGAAGAGGTACATTTAGATGACAGCTACTTTCCCTCCCAGGTCTAAAATCTTCTCTTGGTCTTCACCTTTTTATCTACAGTTCTGTCTTCCCTGCTCTCCTATCTCAGCTTCTCATGTATAGCTGTTTATAAGTATTCGTAAAGCCAGGAGTAACTCATTGGTAGAACTTGCTTAGTATGTGCAGTGCTGTGAGTTCAATCCCCAGTACTGCAAAAAACAAAAATAAACAACCACAACTTAAAAAAATACTTATACAATAAACATGTTTGTGAGGAAACCTCAATAAATGCAGTTGCTGGCAAGATTTGGAATGTTTAGAAGTTGTTATTTTGATAGTTTCTTTGTTTGCCTTTTGTATACATTAGCTGAATATAAGTTTCAGTTGTATCTTGTTTGTAGAACACAGTTGTAAAATAAAGCAATGACATATTGTAACTTATCAGAAAATGAAAAAGTTTTATTATCCAGTACTGGTAAAACTGTAGAAATGCTTAAGTACACCGTTGTAGGAATCTAACTGTTGCATCTTTTTTTCAAGGACAGTATCAATATTTTTATGATGTGTAATTGAAAAATACAGTGCATAAATTTTTAGAATTTACTGCAGTAGAAGACACATTGCCATTTATCTACATCAAAATACTTCCCCTCTTGGTAGGGGAAAGGAAAGAAGGGGAAAAAAATATGAGAAAAGGAAAAAAATGGAAACAAAGTCTTTGCAAATAGGGAAGGGTGGAGGGGGTGAAGGGAGGGCAGGGGAAGGGGAAAAAAATAAGAGCCAAGATACTCATGTAATGGTACAAGACCCCAATGATGAATGTAACTGTATTTTATACTGAAAATGTACCGATAAACTTACTGGGGGGAAAAAAAAACTTCCCCTCTTTGAAAACATTTATCCTGGGCCAGGGATTTAGCTCAGTGGTTCCGATGCCTGCCTCGCAAGCGCAAGGTCCCGAGTTTGATCCCCATTACAAAAAACAAACAACATTTATCCTATTGTTCTTGCCTTTTTCTGAAGCAGTTCTGGAAGTCCTGTTTCATGAGCACCTTTTGTTGTACTGTTTTGGCTGCCTTCATGGCCTGAATCTATTCAAAACATTCACCTTTCATAGTCATTTTGGCTTTGGGGAAGAGCTACAAGTTGTATGATATCATATCCAGTGAATAAGGAGGATGAGGATCACCATATATGAGCATACCTTTCTGTTGGATGGCAGTTGGCATCAGCACTGAACTTATTTTTGATCACACCTCATAAAACACTAAAGAAGGCTTCCAGAACTGCTTCAGGAAGTTGGATAAATGTGTTTGAAGCAAGGAGGTAAATTAATGGTAATGTACCTTTTACTCTAGTAAATATTTCAAATTTAAACATTCACTGTGTATTTTGATCACAAGTCATAGAGTTATGTAAATTGTATCAGTGACTTCTGAGGTCTCCAAAAAATTCGCATTTAATATTAAGACACATATATCGGGATGTTCATTGCTATGTTGTTTGTAACATTGAAAATTTGGAAAGATACTTTATTTCTATCAAGAGAGGAATGGTTAAATAGGGTGTGTTATGTATCTTCATCCTACAGATAGTAAAAATAGTCCAAAGCATGAAGCTGATCTGTATGTACTATCATAATATAAGTAGAAAAGCAAGAAACAACATTAACTGTATTTCACTGTGGTAAAACCCACATAATTATCTATATTCATAGATAACTATATAGAAAAAAATGGGGTGAATACACACAAAACTGTTAACATTAATTGGAGAGAGAAGAGGAATTGCATTTTTATTATATATACACATCTATTAAATTTCTTAAAATTAGCTCTGTATTGCTGGTATAAAAATGAACAAAAGCAAAAAAACATCAGGAATTAATTCCTGAAGAATGAGAAGGCAAAAAGATAGCAGGAAATTTATCATTTAAAGAATAATTTACCATTTAAAGAATATGCCCAAAACTTCAGAAGCAGATGAGAACCATAGTTTGTATTTGGCCAGAGCTGTCTAGCTGTTTATAGTAGTAACTCTGCTCTTTTATTTCTTTGCATGTCCAGCTTACTCTTCTTACTTTTCTGTATTCTACAGGTAACTCGGGACCAGATGAAGGTGTTTATACAGCAGGAATTTAAGAAAGTTCAGAAAGTGATTGCTGATGAGGAGCAAAAGGCCCTTCATCTAGTAGACATCCAGGAAGCAATGGCCACGGCTCATGTGACTGAGATATTGGCAGATATCCAGTCCCACATGGACAGGTTGATGACTCAGATGGCCCAGGCCAAGGAACAACTTGATACCTCTAATGAATCAGCTGAGCCAAAGGGAGAGGTAAATGAAAATGCCCACTATCATTAGTACCAGGATAAATAGGACCTGATTGCCCTATTCTTTAGTGCTGGAAATGCCCCCTTGTGATCCCTGATCATTAATAAATTGAAACCTTAGATATAATTATAGCATTTCAACTTGTGTGTGACCTAGTATGTAAGAACAGTATTGACTACTAGGGCCTGTATTCAGCAGCTGAACCTGGCAAAGTATTTACCTACTTTGCCTTAAAGGAAAGTAGTCAGTGGAGCAGATACTAATCACAGTGAAAGAGAGAAGCCAGAAATCAGAATCAGAGAAGAGTGTATATGACATAACCCAGGTTGTAAAATGAATATGTAAATAAAGCCACTATAGAGATGAGAATTGGGCTGAAGGAGAACAAGTCAGGAAGTAGAGCACAAAGCAGGACAGAATGAAAGATTTTTGGACTTATTCTGTAAATAGTGAAAGGGTGCTTCGGGCTGAATTTTATATGGAATTAACTATAAATTGGGGGCATCTGATGGATTAAGAGTGGCATGTGGAGCCAGATGTTGTAGGTCAGGCCTGTTGTCACAGCTATTCAGGAGGCTGAGAGGAGAGGATTATTTGAATATAGGAATTCTAGACCAGCCTAAGCAATATAACAAGACCCTGTCTCAAAACAGAATAAAAGGGTGACATGTACACTGGGACATTGTGAAGATAAAGACAAAAACCAGTATGAGTGAAAGATACAAGGTAGATTTGAATCACTATGCAAATGTTAGTTTTAACATATTGCAGAATGGTAGAGGGGATTGTTTTGTGGCTTAATAAACAAAAAGTTCAACCAGAGTTAACTCAGCAGATTAACAGCATAATTCTCTCAAATTCCCCTCAAATTAGATTCTTATATTTATTCTGTGTATTGACTAGGTTGTTCTTTCAAAAATAAAGATCTGATTTTGTGAAATATCCTCTTCTTTTATTTTTATTTCAAAGAATGAATTTAGTCTCTTCACATCATTAACTGTCCTTTAGGTACCCCAACTGATGGAATTACTCTTAGGAATGTAAAAGCTGACAAAGGACTAGAAAGGGAACAAAATAAGCTATTAAAAATAAGTGGCAGGTCCGGGGATTTAGCTCAGTGGTTCTGGCTCCTGCCCTGCAAGCGCAAGGACCCAAGTTCAATCCCCAGTGCCAAAAAAAAAAAAGAGGTAGCATTCAGCTTGCTAGAGCATGTTCAAAGGAGCTGTTATCACCTAATAGCATTTGTTCCAGTTAATCTGGTAACTTATTGGTTAGCGCAAATATCCAGTACCTCTCTTTCACTTAGCAGAGAACTGCTTTTTTTTTTCCTTTGCACAGTATGGAATATTTTTTTAAAATCACTTGCATTTTGCATTTAGCCAAAAGATTTCCTCACCAACATTTTATTATGAAAAATTTCAAACATAAAGCAAAGTTGACAGGATTTTACAGATTACACCCATATACCTACCACCTAGATTGTCATCCATTAGCATTTTGCCATATTTGCTTCATTACATTTCTAACCATCTTTCCAACCTTCTATTCATCAATTTTATTTTTAGTGCCAAAACAAAATGAAATTTCTGATTCTGAGTAAGAACCATGAACACATTCCATTTTACTCTTTCCACTAATTACAGCAAACATCTCTGGACAGAAGTCACCAAAAGTCTTTCAAAGGTGGGAAAAGACGTCATACTGACTGGAGAACTTGAGATTTAAAGAACTATAAGGCAGTGAATTACCTGGAATTTTCCTTGCTTTCTGTACATCCTGTCCCCTATATTTTGCAAACTGGAAACGCTAGTGGATAAGAACACCCCAAAAGAGTCTCTAAGAAAAGCCTGATAGCTAGAGAGAAATCTTTTGTCTATACCTACCCATTCTGGAGATGAATACTATGAAGAAAAAGCTACTCTCCTCCTCAAGCCCCACTGACACTACTGTAGAGGAACTGATGGACTGAAAATCTGTTTTATACTCTACCTTGGAGTAACAGGTGTCTGTTTGCCATGGAGCCTGTGAGTGAATCTTTGCTTTTTGTTCCTACCTGCTGTAACAACAAGGAATTATTCCCCTCACCTGTGGAGACAGTAGGTAAAGTGAACAAATCCTTCCTCTTCCTCTTACATTAACTAGTCCTTGCCCTTCCCTTGCTGGTTAAGTGGCTGGAATTTTATTGTCCACCCCTGCCCTGTAGTAATGACTTGGTGCCTCTGTTTTTCCTCAGCAAGCTCTGTGGAGACTGTAGAGTGGAGGGTTATCATCTGAGTGGGGCACACCAGAATAGCACTGCAGAAGCTTTGTAAACTAACATGACATTTGAACCATGGTCTTCAAAAAGTGATCCTGGACATGTATTTGAAAACTAAACCATTTGACTACCTGCCAGATTAGATTTAAATAGCCTATTATTATCAAGTGACTCAATATATCCAGGATACAGTCTAAATTAATGATTATACAATACAATCTCAATTCCAATGAGAAATATATGCCAATGCCAAGATGACGCAAGTGTTGGGATTATCAAAGAAGGAAAGCTGGCATAAAAGTGGCTCATTGAACATTTACAAACATGCTGGAAACGAAAAACAAAAAATAGTACTAAAGAAATAAAAGATATGAAGAACCAAATGAAAAATTTAGAACTGAAAAATACAATAACTGACAAAAGAATTCACTGCAGATGCTCACTGGCAAATTTGAGATGATGAAAGAAAACAAATTGGTGAATGTGGAGATAGTTTAATGATGCAATCTAAACAACCAAAAAAAAAAAGGATTGAAAGATAATTGAACTCAGCTTCTGGGATCTGTGGGACAGTAATGAAAGATCTAATATACATATAATAAGAGCAATGAGGGGCTAAAATCATGTACAAAGAAATAATGGTTCACAATTTCCAGCATCTGGTTGAAAGACATAAACCTATAGATTTAAGAAGCTAGGTGAATCCAAACAATATAAAATCTTAAGAAATCAATTCCCAGACAGATAAAAATCAAACTTATAGAACTAAAGAGAGAGAAAAAAATCTTGAAAGCATAGCACTGAAGAGAAATAACATATTAGCTGTTGGAAGCAACAATTTGAGTGAACATGGTGTATGGCTCCATTTATAAGTCTGATTTATATGCTTTTAGAAATTATTTGTATGCAGTTTTCATTTAAAGGCTTGCAATGGCTTTTGTTAAATTTATTTTTAGGTCTTTAATTTTTTGATGCTATTGAAAATAGAATTGCTTTTAAATTTTATTTTTCAAGACTTTTCATGCTATATATGTTTTTTTTGTTTTTTGGGATTTTGACTTTTTTTGGAACACTGGGTTTTACTGTATTACCTGGCTGGCCTCAAACTCAGGCAATCCCCTTGGCTCTGCATTTTGAGTAGCTGGAATTACATCTCACCCAGCTTACAGTTGCCTTTTATGTATTAACCTTTTATCTTTTAACCCTTGCCAAATTTACCTATTACTTATAATAGTGGTTTTACAGATTCTTTGGGCCCTTAGCATCAGCACTCATGTCATCTGCAAACAGAGACAGATTTATTTCTTCTTTTCCAATCTCTCTGCCAGTTACTTTGTTTTCTTGCCTTATTGCTGTGTCTAGGGCAGTGATGGCGAATCTTCTAGAGCTTTCAATGATGACAAACAGTGAGCCATGGCACACATGCCATAGGTTCACCACCACTGATCAATCTAGGGCTTTCGGTTCAGTGCCTGACATAAAGGGTAAAAGTGGGCATCCTCACTTGGTCTCAGTCTTAGAGGAAAAGCATTCAGTATAATATATGTGGTGAGTTTTGTAGATGCTTTTTATTAAGTTGAAAAAGCTCCCCTCTGTTCTTAATGTGCTGAAGGTTTTTATCCTGATAATATTGAATTTTGTCAGATGTTTCTTTTGCACCTGTTGAAATGTCTTACAGGGTTTTTTTCCATTGTTTGGTTGTAATTATTAATTACACTAGTTAATTTTACAATATTAATCCAATGTTGCATTCTTGAGATAAACTCTGGGTTCATTTTTGGTAATATGTGATTAAGGATTTTTATCTTTGTTCATAAAACAAAGGGATTTAAGTCTACAATCTTATATTTTTGGAATGTCATTGGCAGCTTTTTACATTAGGCTTATGTTGGCCTCATGTGACTTTCTCTTTTCTGTCAAATTATTTACATCATTTTATAAAAGTCTTCCTCAAAGTCAAGTATTAAAAAATGTTTTCAGTCTTTTTTCGTTACTAAAAGATGGTGTGTGCTCTTATTTATAAGTCATGAGCATGACCATCTTGTCCAGTTTTTGAAAGGAGATTCTGATTGCAATAATACTAGAAAAAGTTATTTTAGATGAGAAAATATAAAAATGATATATGCATAGCTTATGCATTTGTTTTAAACTTGAAATATATGTCTGTACATTTTTTGATCCTGAGTCAAGACATTTTCTTTAAAAATGTGGCTTACTTGGAGTTTCATGACATATGTCTGCTATAAAGACCCAGCACATCTGTACTATACCATTTTAAATGTCCAGTTTCACTCTCTTTATAGTGAAAGGGATACCATTTAAAACAAGCTGAATGCTTGTTTCTGGTATTTGCATGTTTCATCTACAGTCAAAATTGTCACCAGTTTAACTCATTTTACTGAATCGTGTGGAAGCATGCAAATCTCATGAAAGCAACAATTGTCTCTCTTGCACTAATTTTTTGTTATTTAATTAAATGTGTCATTATAATTTCAAGTTCAGCTGAATAAGCAGGCTTGAAATTAAAGTTGTTTGAATCATAGTGAACATTTCCACTAGTGAAAGTAGAAATGAGAAGTTGCCCTAAATTGTATCCTGCCAACCAAAAACATTCAGGGTGTTTTAAGGAGGGATTTAGGAGCACTGCCAAATTTAACAAGTCATCTAAATGAAAGTTAGTGTTTAATACACTCTCACCTCTAATATTCTTGAAATCAGAATTAACTTATAATAGGAAGAGAAATTAGTTTTAAATCCTGCTCTGTCTTGCCCACCCTCTTTTTATATTTACTCTGTGCCTTGTACTGCCTTAATGAATACAGAGATGAACAAAACATGGTTTTCATTCTCAAGGAGTGGAAATCCAAAAAGAGAGAATCTGTATGGTGGTGTCATCATCAGTTTTCCTCTCTTAAGTGCTAGCTTAAGAGGATGAAGGATGAACTCTGCAGATGTGGAGTTCACAGGAGGATTGCCCCATTCAACTCTTAGTGAGGAAGTGTCTGAGTAAGGCTGGATATTAGGGATAGATAGGAAATAGCTAGGATTTAGGGAAAAACGAGTACATTTTGGGTAGCAGGAGCTGCATGTGCACATCTTATACTGGCAAGTTAGTGGCCATCTAAAGGTCTGCTGACTTATTCAAAGTGGCTCTAAAATTCATGTGTGTGTATTTATTTCATCATTCATTTATTCATACCTTCAGTGGTGAAACTCTCACCCTGGCCTTCCTCATGTTTTGTGACAGTGACTGCAGTTTTTAAAAAGAAAAATACATCTGTGAGCAGCAGAAATGGATGAATATACGGCAAAACCTTTTTTCCTTCCTCACTCTCTGCAGTAACTTATTAATTATAATTCATAGGAGATAAGATAATGACTACCATTTGTTGAACACTTACAATGTACCAGATACTTGCTTAGTGTTTTACACAGATTTAATCATTTATTTCAATCCATGTAGTGACCCTTTGAGGTCATATGCAGATGAAGAAGGTGAATTTTGGAAAAGTTAAATAAATTTCCAAAAGCTTTGGTGTTGGAATTAATTTATATAACTCAGAAATCCCATTGCACTAAAGTGTGTGATTGTGAGGAGGACTTCCTGTAAATCATGAGAAAAAGTTTAAGTACTTTTTCCATAAGGTTCTCCTGACAGTTATGGTTAAACATCTAAAGATAATTGAAAAATTGTGTTGAGATTTAATTGCACCACAGATAGTTTTGTAACTCTATGAAATTTAAATTATGTGACATTTTCTCTTTCTGTATTACTGTTCTCATGAGACATGTCAGGTGATAAAAATGGAAAGAAAGCTCCCACTATCCCTATATCTTTCTTTCACCATTTGTCCTACTTTCCTCTCAATGTAATGCAGATGATTAGCACCTTAGCACTGTTGCAGATCCTTAATGGTCTATTAAAATGCCCTTCCTGTTTACCCTCTAGTGGGTAGTCTGGTTTGGCTCAGCTGTCCTTTACAGGCTTGTACCTGGACAGTTTCCCTTTACTTCCGTTGTGCTCTTCAGCTTCAGCCACCCTCAGCCTGCTCCCATGCCCCTGCCCAAGATTCACATGCACATCCCTATTCTGTAGTTCTGCAGAACTCAGAGTACCTTAAACAGTAAATAAGTTTAAGTTGTCTTTGTTCTTGCTCTTCCAGTGCTTTTCCCACTTTTCTCTATTGTCAGCCTGTGGAAATTCTTATTCTTCAGGTGCCAATGTAAATGCCACCTTCTCTGTGAAGCCCTCCCCAGGTTCTCAAGGAGAGGCAACATTCATCGTTTCCCTTTTGACTCTGTTTATGTCTTTGTTAGATCCCTTAACATATTTAGCCATAGTTAATTTTCTTTCTGCCTGTTTCCCATGCTCCTGATTGGGAGCTTCTAGGTGGTTAAATCATTATGGATTTTTTTAATCTTTAGCACTTACATACAGTAGCTTCTTAATGAACCATACTGAATTATCACTCAAATTGATAAATATGCTTTATTAAGTGTATCCTGTGTCTCAGGCACTGGACTTGATTTTAAGAGTTATTCACTCCTCTTACCCATTTTATGATAAAAAGACAGTTATAGCCCTATTTTACAAAGTAGGATGTTGAAGTTAAGAGAGGAGAAATCACTTTACTAGGGTAATAGATCACACAAGTGACAAAGTCAAGATTTGAACCCAGAATGTCTGATTCCCACTTCATTGTCCTTTATACTAACAGGAATCATTCATTCATTTATTCCTTCTCTGAGGAGTACAACCAGAGGTACATTCTCTATTGAGATCATCGCTGAATAACTAAGGATGTGAAAGATACTGTGTCACCAGAAGGATAAGTGCGCTCTTGGAAAAGGCTTAAGAGTCATTTGAAAGATGTGTTTTGGTCATAGAAGGAGGCTCAAAGGAATCTGCCGTGATTGATATTGATAAAGTTAGGTTGGGAGAATGCAGTGCCTGGGAAAATCACATTCACACATTATTTTTGCAGAGTGGACAAGAAAAAGAAAAGTCAGTGTTTGGCTAAAGAATGATGTAGGTCATCTACTGCTAGAAATACCCTCTTTCAGAGAAGAAAGCCTAGGTTTAGATTAATCAGTTTGTCCAAGGGCACATACTTAAAAAGTATCAGAGCTTAGACTAGAATTCCAATTTTCTGAGTCCCAGTTTGGTACCCTTTCTACTTTAGTATGCTATATATTAGAGTTGCTGTGTTCATGTTTAGAGATAAAAATTATAGACCATGACAGAAATGAGTCTTCAAAAGAAACAGCTTGATACTTATGGAGCCGGTCAGTTTTTGCCTAAGACCTGCTGCTATTTTGGGGCTCTCAGTTTGCCCAGAACTGAATACTGCCAGCCATACAAATAAAAAAGCAAGACTATTATTTGGGCCTCCCAGGTCTGAGCATTCAATTCTCTGCTTGCAAGGGCAAATTATCAGTTCTGCTCTGCTGGGGAGCTTGAACATAAGGTTTATATTAGACCTTGTCTTAGTCCTTAGATGTCCACTGGTGTCATTTTTTTAAGTGTATAGTCTTTGCCTTCAGATTGGGAGAAGAGGAGAAGAAAAAAATGTAAATCAGTTTCTGCCAGTGATGATTTCTAATGCTGTTTCTTTCTGTTGTCTTTCAGGGCAATGAGGAAGGATCCAGGTAAGATCACATTATTACTGCTTGTCTATTCTCAGAATTGAAGTAGAATGACATTTGTGGCCTTTTAATGCCCCACAAAATATGGACAGCCAAGGAAATAGCACAGAAAAGGGATCTCCATCTTAAGCCAGGGCTTTGAAAATCTTATTTTTTAAGACTCCCATCTCCTTCACTAGCTGTGCCATTTCCTGTCTGTGACCTTCAGATAAAGGTAGACTTGAAAGTTGTAAAGACAGTGACTTTGCCTTATTCTTTAGCACATTCAGAATACCTTGTTAAGAAAAAGTCAGCACTACATTTGAATGGTAATTAGGTTATCAGATGGACCCACTAAATAAACTTTTGCATTGTTCTCTTTTAATGTGAATTTGATTTTTAAATGGACTCCAGATCTAATATCCTTTATTTCTGACCAGTAAAATCTTTGTGTCTGACCTTAAGATACCAATACAATAAGTCCTAGGTCATAGATATACAAATTTTTTTTTCTTTTTGGTACCTGGGATCGAACTCCAGACTTTGCGCTTGCAAGGTAGACGGTGGAACCACTGAGCTAAATCCCCAGCCCTACAAAATTTTGTTTAGGGAAAAAAATGCCTTTTTGCTTCTCTACATCCACAGTTAGATTACGTTTAAAAGTGCATTTCATAATTGCCTCAGCCTTGCAGTGAACTTGAACTTTGGTTTACTTTTTCTGTATTTTTTAAAATTTTTCTGTATGTTTGTTTGCAGTGCAGACAAACTCTTAACTGCTGCAATTGTGCCATCAGTACAATTGAGGGAATTTGACCAAGTAAAATGTAATGTCTAGATAGACCCATCCATCAAGTAGCCTCAAAAACTGTTAAGACTGGGCCCTATCAGAAAGGTCAGTCAGGCCACTGCAATTCAGATTTTATTTCTAGCAGAAGTACCCTTTTTTCCAAACAAACTTTAAGTAGAATCTCAGTGTGTAAAAAACTTTTTCTCTACTTTAAATTAGGGCCATATCTATTAGTATACCATCTTTCTCTGTGTCAGTAGACTCAGGGGCTTCTGCAGACCATGGTTTCTCAGAACTCAGTTTGAACATCACTAATCTAGTTTAAGTGCCTCATTAAAAGAAGAATCTAAATGAATTGTCCAAGGTTATCTTACTGGTGCCAGTATTTGGCACTTCTTTGATTTTATTTCAAACCAACAAACACAGTTCCTTCTTTTTTCTTTTCCCTGCCCACATCCTGAGCCCCCTTCATAGTTAAGAAATACCAAACATTATCCCATATCTCCATATGCCATTGCTTCCTTTCCTTGGAAACTGGTTCTCATTCTCTACTCTGGAATGGTAAGGAACTATCCAGCTCCTTTTTTGCTATGGCTAAAGTCCCAGGTGGCCTACTAAATTCCATCTTCCAGCCATTCTCACGAACAGATTTCTTCTGCGTTGTGGTTTCCTCCCTCCTTCCCTGCATCCCTCCCTCTCTCCCTTCCTATCTTCCTTCATTTATCTACTTAAAATATATTTGTGCCCCTGTTATGTATCAGGCACTGTGCTTCATACTGGGTAAATATGGTGAGTAGGGCAGATTAGAGGCAAGAATCTAACAAGTGCTCACTGTGGGCAGTGCTGTGATAATTCAAGTCCAGGCTGCATGAGGACGGGCTCCAGAACCATCTGGGTGATGAAGGGAGGCTAACCAGAAAAGGTTATACATAAACAGAGGTCTGAATGAAGAGAAGGCAGGCAGAAGAACAGGGTCAGTTTTTGTAGGTAGAAGAAAAAAACATGTAAAAGGTCTTCGTAGAGAAGAGTGGAAGAAGGAAAGCAGAGCTCAGGTCATTTAGTGCCATATTGACCTTTTAAAAGTACTTGAGCTCTATCCTGAAGTCAGTGGGAAGCCTTTAAAGAATTTTAAATGGGAATTAACATGAGCAGGTTTTTGTTTTAGAAGTCTTCTTGCTTTTGGAATGGAAAATAAATTGGAGGTAGGTGAAGGGCCTATAGTTGGACTAGGGGTCTTAATACGTTTTGTGTTCTGTAACAAAATACCTGAAGCTAGGTATTTATAAAAACAAGAGGTTTCTTTAGTTCAAAGTTCTGGAGTTCTAAGGGCATAGCACCAGTATCTGAACTGGTTCTTGTGAAGGCCTCATGGTGGATGGCCTTATAATGATGGAAACCTTTGCAGAGGGAAGATTGAGGGAAGGTACCACCTCCTTTGAAACAACCAGTTTTCTGGAAACTAATTCAGACTCACAAGACCTCCTTTAATCCCTTCTTAGGGTGGTGCTTCCTTGAGGTAATCACCTTCAGCAGGCCCCGTGCCTTAAATGTTCTACCACCTTTCAACATCTCCACACTGGGGGCTCAGACCACATACAAACTGTATTATTTGAGCAGCAATGATGGGGTCCTAAATCAATATCTTCTTCAGTTATTGACCCAAGTTTTCACCATTTGCACAGAAGTTTGGTTTAGATACCAAATTCTCCTTGGCACTTCATCTCTTTTATTCTCAAGACTAGCTCTAGCTCTTTAAAATCCAGGTTTAGACACAATTCTAGACCTCTCCAGGAGTTCCAACAGATTACATAGAGAAAATACCTTAGCAAAGGTAGAGTGCAAGCTCCACAGGGCACCACTGGCATTTCTGTCTTGGGAGAGCCTGATGAGGCTGAAACACTCATTTTATCTTTATGGCCACATGCCGAAGTCATGTTGATTAGAATACACGGACCTTATGAGAAGATTAATACTTCCTTTGAAGATACTATTGAGTATGAGATTTTGGCTTTAGAGTTTAATTGCAGATACCTTCGTGTCGTTTTGACAAGGTAGTGGTGAGGCATAGTTGCCTTACCAGCAACCAAGATGTCAAACTGTCTCCCTCGAGTCGGGCTACTGTGGATGTCAGCAGGATTCTCTTGGACTAAAACTATAAAACCTTTTTTGGTACAATGAGCACTTGAAGACATGTTCCAGTTTGGAAGAAAGAAGGAAGAGAAGTCACATTTTTTAACCTTTAAATTCATACTTGTCAATTTCATTTGGTTTATTTGTATTGAATACCATTGGGCTTAATTTACTCCAGTTAACACTTATAGGGCAGATTGTCTTTGATCTGAAATTTCTCATTTATGATATACACTTTACCATTTCAACAGGCCAAACAGAATTTTGTTCCAAAGGCTTCTGCATTGCTGACAGATTAAATGAGGGTTAGATATGTTAGGGAAGCAAAAAGAAAATGTGGGTCTCTCTGCACTGACTGTAGATGAGAAATTTACCTATTGACCCTGAGTTCTAGTTCTGCTTGGATTCTTATGCCTGTGTCATCTTCACTAACATTCTTTCTCCACAGTGGAAGGGAAATTCCTGTCCTGTAGAAACATACTTGCCTGTAATAGATCATCTTCCCTTTCTACCACCTGGAGTCTCTGCTTCTCTTTTCTGTTTTGACTTCTCAAACTGTTTGATATAAGATGGCCAGATACTATGTTTTTGCTCATATCTGTTTCTTACCCTGAGTTTTAGTGTATAGTTATCCTGCTAATTAAAATAATACTAATCATAGCTACCATTTATTGAAGGTTTATTATGACCAAAATGCTTCATACATACTAACATTTAATCCTTCTAAACATTATGCTATAGTTATCCCACTTGTCAAAGAAGGAAATGCCTGGAGAAATTAATTTGCCCTAGATCACAAGGCTCATAAGTGACAGAATTAGGACTTGATTATCTTCTAGTTTCAGGGCACATGCATTCAACAGTCTCTTGCACTGTCTCCAAGAGGCCAACACACTTCACTCTGTGGGCCTGTAGGAAAACCCAGAGGCTTCATACACAGTCCTCAGGGGATCGCTTTGGTCTGGTCCCTCTAACTTGGGAGTTCTTGCTCTAACATCGAATTGCTGACTTTGGTTTTCTGCAAGTAACTTGTCAAGAAAGAAGGCTCTTAGGCTTAGTCTCTATCATTATATAGGGATATTTTTTGTCTTATCTTCATACAGTATTCTCAGAATATCAGCAGCAAAAGGAATGCTGTCTGGGGAGCGGCCAGCTGAGCTTTCCCTTGACTCCACATAATAGCTGCCCGTTGCTCATCATGTGGTAACTTACTCCTCAGATCCATGATACATAGTCATGTATCTGGCAAGAGTTCTCAGAGGGTGTGAAGGAACAAAAGTCCTAATATGTAGAACATGGATATTAACAGCTGTGGAGAGACACCTTGTAAGAAGGTGTCTTTGAAACCCAGAATTTTTTTTCCAAGCAAAAAAAGCAATTTATACTTTTGGCAGCAATTTTCTGCCTTCTCTGCTATTATGGAAGATCTTGTGTTCACTCCCTCACAGATTGGCTTCTTCTCTACTCCTGGCAGAGCCTGCTGAGAAGTAATATATATTCAAAGAGGGGGTGGCATTACGATCTTCTAGTGTCAGAGCAATTGTATAGTGGGAGGACATCAGAGAAGGGAAGACCCTTAAACTCTTGTGCTCAGAGGAGAAGGAGTGAGATCAAGATTAAATTTTGATTTGCTATTGAGTTTTTCTGTGATTTTTTTTAAAACTAAAAGGAAAATGGATTTACTATTAGTAACAGCCATACTTGGAGCCACTGTAGAATTTTTCATCTTCAAAGCTGGCTGTTAGGCAATAAAGCTCTTGCTGAGATCAGTGTGAATGTAACCCATGCTGATTTTGTGATCAAACAGGAAGGGGGTTGTGAAGGAGTAGGAGCTAAAGGAGTCAGCAGGCCTTACTTCTAGTCTTTTTTTTTTCCCCATTAAGTTTATTGGTACATTTTAGGTATACAATACAGTTACATTCATCATTGGAATCTTGAACAATTACATGAGTATCTTGGTTCTTATTTTTTCCCCTTCCCCTGCCCTCCCTTCACCCTCTCCACCCTTGCCTATTTGAAAAGATTTTGTTTCCATTTTTTCCTTTTCTCATATTTTTTCTTTTCCCTT